CTCTTATACTAAAATTTTATAATTAGATGCTCAAGTGGTCACGATACAAAAATTTCAAACTCAATTTTGAAACTAACGAATAAACTTGATAGTGAATAGTGATTCGCGATACCCCACTTATAATAAAAACACTCTTTCTTGAGACAATAGAATGCATTAAATCTGCATTGCATTACATTTTCAGCATTAAATCATAGTACCGTATTTTTCAGACTATAAGTAGCACCGGACTATAAGTCACGCTTTTTGGGGGAAATTTATTTTATAAAATCAGAGACCAGGAACACACATTTCATCTTGAAAGTCAAGTTCTACTAATAACAATAGAACAGAGAACAACAGACTGTTAACGTCACAGATGAGCAGTTCTTCAGATAACTATAGCATCAACAACAGAACAAGTTTATCTCACTCCAAATCTCACTCCATTCAATTCTTCATCCTCGGTGTCAGTTCTGAGCAACTTGGCGACCTCCGGAGGTAAACAGAGTGCCACTTCCTCTTCTGTGTAGCTGTCGTCAGACTCAGCATCAGTTCCAGTTAGAATTATTCCAGACTTTCTGAATAGCAACAGGATGGTTTCTGTGTCACTGAAGTTCAGGCTTTGTCCATCCATCCAGTGACTTCCAGGAAAGTTGCATGGTGCATCCTCCCTGTGTCACAAGTTTCTCACTCACTCCAAACTTTTTTTCTGCTGCTTGATTACTGTTTTCAGCTGCAGATTTTGCTACTTGCAACTTGTAATCTGCAAAATATGATTTTCTTTTTGGGGGCAGAAGTAATGGTGCGATGGACTGACATGATACAGACAGGACAGAGGCTCTTTCTGCAGGAGACATGCACAGTAGAGCCAAGTGACAGTGGTAGTAGTAGTAGCAAATACTCACACACAAGACTACAGCCTCTCATGGCTGTGAGTGTGAACATTTTAATATATGAGTGGAAGTCGCAGGACCACCCAAACCATGAAAAAAAGTGTGATTTATAGTCCGAACAATACCGTACTTTCTTTTCTGTTCCCATGTCTGTGTAATCCCTCAGTGGTTCAGGTAGGTTCCATAGTGGTCCATAGGTGTACACTAGTCTATGTGCTCCTATACTTGTCCTGATACAGCTCAACATCATTCTAAAACTATTCAGGAAAGCTTCATTTCTGTCCTGTGAATGTGACTTTTTTAGTATCAGCACCTGCTCAAATGAGTATCCAATTTCGATACAAGTTTTTGTATCAATTAGTATGTGATGTTTAATACTTTTGACTACCAAATTTGAAGCAGACAGTAGACATCAGACTTATTTTGACCTCCATTTTGAGCCCAAACCCAATAAAATGACAAAAGCTTTGAGAGATTTGATTTGCAAAGGGAGATTAAACCTTTTACGGAGCAGATTGTTGTTATGGAAAACCCGGACTGACAGTTGTAAAGAGGACGGTCCCTGTTATGAACAGACACCACCTACACTGTATTGACTCGTTTGGTTATTTATGGTTTAGTAGATGAGTATTAGTCAATAACACATCTGCAGTACATGTCGGGCTTAACCATTATAATCTAATGTACAATCCATATCTGATTTAGCGCCTTCAGAATTGACCGGGTTTGATGGGAAAATAATGGCTGCATTTGTAATAATTAGTTTAGACAATAGAAAACCAATGTTGTATTAAACCAGTTGTTTTTTGTGCAGTTTGGATTGAACTGATTTCAAAATTACAAGAGCCATTTTCAAACATTATACAGTCTTTTGTTCATCTTTTGTTCATTTTGTCCAGTTCCCTCTTGGTGTACTCTGGTGTTTAGGCAAGAAGTAGTTTCAACAGCCAATTTTCTTAGTTTTTATCTTGAAGTGAAATAATTTCTTATTTAATCAAGATAAATTGCATCTAAACCAGGAACTTAATGTAGAACTAAACCAGGACTAGATCAGAACTTGATGGAAACAAGACCAGAACTGAACCTGAATTAGACCAGAACTACTGTAGACTGGAACTTGACCAGAGCTAGACCAGAACTAGACCAGAACTAGACCACTAGACCAGAACTAAAGCAGTCCTAAACCAAGAGTAGACCAGAACTAGACCAGAACTAGACCAGAATTAGACCAGAACTAAAGCAGTCCTAAACCAAGAGTAGACCAGAACTAGACCAGACCTAGGCCACAATTAGATCAGAATTAGATCAGAACTAGACCAGAACTAGACCAAAGGTAGACCTGGACTAGACCAGAGATAGACCAGAGATAGACCAGAACTAGACCAGGACTAGACCAGATTTAGACCAGAGCTAAACCAGGACCAAACTAGAACTAGACCAGGACTAAACCAGAACTAGACCAGAACTAGACCAGGACTAGACCAGGACCAGAATTAGATCAGAACTAGACCAGAGCTAGACCAGGGCAAGATCAGAGATAGAACAGGACCAGACCAGAACTAGACCAGGACTAAACCAGAACTAGACCAGAGCTAGACCAGGACTAGACCAGGACCAGAATTAGATCAGAACTAGACCAGAACTAGATCAGAATTAGATCAGAGCTAGACCAGAGATAGACCAGGACTAGACCAGAACTAGACCAGGACTAAACCAGAACTAGACCAGAGCTAGACAAGAATAACACCAAGACCAGACCAGAACTAGACCAGAATTAGACCCAAATTTGCTCAGCAATAGACCAGAACTAGACCAGAACTAGACCAAAGCTAGACCAGGACTAGACCAGAAATACACCAGAACTAGACTGAGACTAGAACAGAGCTAGACCAAGACTAGACCTGAACCAGACCAGAGCTAGACCAGGACTAGACCAGGACCAGACCAGAGCTAGACCAGGAATAGACCAGGACCAGAATTAGATCAGAACTAGACCAGGACTAGCCCAAATCTAAACCAGGACTAGACCAGAGATAGACCAAAGCTAGACCAGAGCTAGACCAGGACTAGATCAGAGCTAAACCAGGACCAGACCAGGACCAGACCAGAGCTAGACAAGAAGTAGATCAGAACTAGACAAAAACTTAATCTGTTTATTTGTCCTGAATTAGACCAGTGGTAGACCTGTACTTGACCAGAACTAAACCTGAACTAAACCAGGACTGGCGAGAACCAATTATTCCTGATTAAAGTGGAGCTAAGTGTGTGTTTTGGTTTTTGAAATCGTGTGTATGCAGTTGTCCAAAAGCACAGTTCAGATGCTGATTTCTCTAATGCACCTTCTAGCACATTTACTTACACTTCAAACCCCTTGACTGGTTCCCTGGATGTTCGACTTGTAATTGGTTTGGGCCTCTGTGATGGAAAAGGAATATATTAAGATCTGTTAATGGAAGCTTTGATCTGGTCTCAATTTCTCTTATATATATTTTTTTATTTTTGTTTGGTTTGTATTAGTCAAAGGAAATACTTTTATTCAGTTTTTAAAAGCAGAAAAATATGACACTGAGGAATAAAAATGCTTGATAGATAACTTTAAAGAAGCTTGAGCCTGCTTTGTAATTATATCTACGACACCCACGGATCTTTATGTTATAATTTGGACTTTTTAAATCACAATGTTCATCTAAAACGACTTCAAAGAAATAAGTGCGCTGGATGACGACATCCAAACCGTCAAAATGTTAAATTGCCTCAAAACAGGCAGAAAATTATGAAAATATGAAATGTTATTTGTATTTTGTTTGTGCTGTTTTGTACTGGGACAATTTTCATTTGTGCGATCATATTCCTAAAAACATTTATTATTATTTTTGAGGAAATTATATGACATCATTTCCGCTCATCTGACGGCAGCGGCTTTAGCAGAACTCCATAAGATCTCAAGCTGTGGAAAAGTCAGTATTATTATATAAAATATCAGTCAAAAGCAAGTTACTAAAGATGATACAGATTTTTCCACAGCTGTTATATGAGCGGAAATGACGTCATATCATCAAAAATAATAATTAATAATTTTAGAAATGAAAACTTTCACAGCACAAAACAACAAACAAAATACAAACATTTCATATCATTTTCCGCCAGTTTTGAGACTATTTTACATTTTGAGCCGCTGGATGACTTCATCTAGCCTGATTCATCAGACGGTTTCACTTCGTAGAAACCATCTGACCTCACAGCATTAGAATTCATTCACTGGTATATTAAGCTTTTCCCAAATCCCGTAGGAAGAAGAACAATAATGTCTTTCCCCTTGATGAAATTCACCAAACTTTCTCTTTGTTCCAGCTTTAAATCTTTGATCTCGGGAATCGTTGCCAACACAGAATGTCTGACTCTTCGCTGATTGGTTGGTGCCCGAACTCGCACTTCCAGGGTTTTTGCAAACCGTGTAGTATATTCTGATTCCTGACCTTGTCACTGGAGAGAAATGAAATTGAGTGGAGAAACTAGGAGTCTCAGGCCTGGCTAGACGTCATCGGCCGAAAATAAAACTGCTAATATCTTAAGAACCATAATCACACAAACGAAACGTTTTACAGCACAAACGAAACCCAAACGACTGACTCTATTTTGGGTCGTTTTAGAGCATTTTGAAGTTTCCTGGGAGCTGGCGGATCCTAATTTGACCTATAAAATAATCATTAATATCTCCAAAAATAAAGCAGCACAAACAAAGCTTTTTGCAGCACAAACAGAGCACAAACACTTGACATAGATTTGTGTAGATTTGTGTTTGACTTTTACGGAGGTGAACTGACATCTCTGTAAACGTTGTCACAACAAAGAGTCTGCACCTCCAATGGAAAAGACGACTCAAACATGCACACATCACTCCAAATACAACTTTGAGAATGTAAATGAGAAGGAGAAACAGCTATAACATGGTTCAAATGAAATGAAAAGTCCATTTTGCATAACAGGTCTGCTTTAATACCACTACATCTCCATGGAGACAAGAAGCCGTGAGAAAAGTTACGCTGTGTACCTTTAAGTGTTTTACTCTGTGGTTAAATATGTGAAGTTGATGAGTAAAGTGATAGTTATATTTTGTGTTTCCAGGATTGTGGGCCACACGGAGCCGTACACCAAACTGTGCTGTAAAGGATTCTGCATCGACATCCTCAAGAAACTCTCACGAAACATCAAGTTCTCCTACGACCTGTACCTGGTGACCAACGGCAAGCACGGAAAACTGGTGCGGGGCATCTGGAACGGCATGATCGGAGAGGTCAGTACTACTGCACCTACTGCTAGTACTACTACTACTACTACTACTACTACTGCAGCGACTACTACTGCTACTACTACTTCTACTACTTCTGTTACTGCAGCTACTACTAAAATGCTTGCCAGAGAGCTTTAAAGAAGTCATAGTGCTTGAGTCTGATATATAATTATAATCTACCACACCCATGGATCTTTATGTTATAATTTGCACTTTTTACCACTATTGCTACTACTACTACTACTACTACTGCTACTACTACTACTACTGCTACTACTACTACTGCTACTACTACTACTACTACTGCTACTACTACTACTGCTACTACTACTACTACTGCTACTACTGCTACTACTACTACTACTGCTGCTACTACTACTACTGCTACTGCTACTGCTACTACTACTACTACTACTACTACTGCTACTACTACTACTACTACTACTACTACTACTACTGCTACTACTACTACTACTGCTACTACTGCTACTGCTACTGCTACTACTACTGCTACTACTGCTGCTACTACTACTGCTACTACTACTGCTACTACTGCAACTACTGCTGCTACTACTGCTACTACTGCTACTCCTGCTGCTACTACTACTGCTGCTACTACTACTGCTGCTACTACTGCTGCTACTACTAGTGCTACTAGTAGTACTGTTGCTGCTGCTATTACTACTATACTACTACTATTACTACTACTACTACTACTACTACTACTACTACTACTACTACTACTACTACTACTACTACTGCTGATACTAGTACTACTGCTATTACTACTACAACTACCATTACTGCTGCTGCTGCTGCTGCTACAACTACTACTAATACTACTGCTGCTACTAGTAGTACTGCTGCTAATACTACTACTACTGCTGCTACTACTACTCCTACTACTACTCCTACTAATACTACTGCTGCTACTAGTAGTACTGCTGCTAATACTACTACTACTGCTGCTACTACTACTCCTACTACTACTCCTACTAGTACTACTGCTGCTCCTCCTCTTACTACTACTACTACTACTGCTGCTGCTGCTGCTGCTGCTGCTGCTACTGCTACTATTAGTACTACTGCTGCTTCTACTAGTGCTACTACTACTGCTATTATTAGTACTATTGCTGCTGCTACTACTACTACTACTACTGCTGCTACTAGTACTAACTGCTCCTACTCCTCCTCCTACTACTACTCCTACCACTGCTTCTCCTACTACTTCTCCTACTACTACTTCTCCTACTACTGCCCCTACTCCTTCTACTCCTCCTCCTCCTACTACTACTAATACTCCTTCTCCTACTACTCCTACTCCTTCTATTTCTACTTCTACTTCTACTACTACCACAGTGAACAGTGGGACTTGATAACTTCCATGCTGAATCAGAGCACATCCTCTTTCATAAAACTCGTCCCTGTTCCAATGGCAGACGTCCTGATAGAAAATGCTCCGTTAATTTGTGAACCTTTGGCACCGCTTAACTCCAGGCCAAAGATTCACGGCTGTAAACCTCCACAGAGCAGTATTTAAAGCATCGAAACCGTGCGTAGTATGTGCTGGACCGATCTCATCTCCAAATATGTAAACCTGTCACGATTCCGACAGTACAAATGTATTTACTGCTGAATAATTCACAGAGACGCAGCAGGACCGGCCTCTCCTTTGGCCCTGATCTGACCCGGGTCCCATCACAGCGCCGCAGATGGAGCTATTTCAAACACTGGGCAGCTCCCTACATGCTTTATAGGCTCGTTTAATCGTACAATTTATCTGATAATCAAAACTTTAAGCTCTCTGTGAAAATTTATCTGCTGCAACTGTTGAAATATTGGGCTAAAATATTGTTCGTAACAGTGGGTTTGGTTTTATAACTACTGTAGTGTTCTCATGATAATAAAATTTCAAACTCGATTTCGGCAGTAAGGAATACGGATGTAACAAAAACCGAAATATCTTGATATTATATTGTCAAAAGTCTCACAATAATATCGTGGGTTGATCGAATTACAAGTTCCTTTGCTTAAATGCATGGTTTTATAGATGCAACAGCTTATAAACATCAAAAACTACATATCCCATGATTCATTTCAGTACAAACAACTTGAAGAAATATGTTTGTTACTTGAATTCTTGGGATTTTGATGGAAATAATTCACACCAAAATCTTGTCAAGGTATTTTAAAAGCAAAAAAGTGTCCAATTTACAATTATATTAGCCTCTTCAAAATATTGCAATAAATATCGTACTATGAGACACATGATAATATCGTACCGAGAGATTTGGATATCATTACATCTCTCTAAGGAAAAGACTTGATATGCAATACCGATTCTGAATAAATTTGAATGCAACTTTTTGTATTGATACCGTATCGTATCTGGTTTCGATACTAGTTTTAGTCTCAATTAATATCTGATTTTTGATTCTTTTGTCAATCCTACAAATCAGAGCTCTTTAAAGCTCTGGGCAGTGCTCAACATGTTTTATCAGCTTGTTTTATTGTACGTTTTATCTGATAATCAAGACTCATTCTCACTGTGCTGTCTTATAACTTTAATTTCAAACCTGATTTCGATACTAAGGAATAGACTCGAAACTTGATACCGATTCCGATACCACGATGATTATAAAAAAAAAACAACAACACTCTATTCAGACAATCAAATATCAAATGAGTATCAAGTTTCTAAACTAGTTTTAGCATCATTTAGTATCTGATTTTCGATTAGTATCTGAAGACTGAGCTCTTGTAAACACTGAGCGGCTCTCGACATGTTTTATGGGCTTGTTTTATTATACGTTTTATATGATAATCAAAACTCTTTCTCAAAATTGTCTGTGGTTGAGATATTGGGCTAATGATTTATTTGCAGCAGTGGCTCTGATGGTACAGAGCAGTCTTATCATACCAGTATACAAACATTTCAAACGCAATTTTGATACTAAGGAATAGACTTGTTTCTCAATTCTGATTCTGATACCACGATGATAGTAAAAACACACTTTATTAAGACAATAGAATGTGATCTTCAACATTTAATTGTAATACGTTCTCATCTATTCCTGTGTGGTCTTATATGTGTAATCCCTCTGTGGTCAAGGTAGGTTCCATGTTGGTCCGTGGGTGTACACTCGTCTATGTGCTCTTATACTTGTTCTAATACAACTCAACATCATTCTAAAGCTACTCAGGAACAAGGGAGGAAATTATATTTACTCACGTTACTGTAACTGAGTAGTTTTTATGAGTAATTTGTAATTTTTAAAGTCATTTTTGGAGATAGGTAATTTTACTTTTACTCAAGTACATTTTGTATTGTGTGTGTAAGTATTTTACTTCATTGCATTGGAACCCATCCTTGTTACTGAGTAAAATCAGATTGATAGAGAAAAATAAAAAACAAATGCGAAAAAACAAAACAAAAACAGTCTGGTGGAACAGAAAGGAAATTGCGCGGGCTTGCATGTGTGTCATTTTCACTATAGAACCGTTCGTCTGTCTTGGAGCAACCTGGATGGTGCTGGCGCCGAGCCGCAGATCGTCATGGATGATATTCAAGAAGGTGTATTGAATAATTCTCAAGAGTGTGTTGTGTTCAAACCCAAAATAGGGAATAACATAAAAATGCAAGTGTTAAAATAGTAAGTGTACATTTTAAAGACAACTGAGCTTTACCAACAAAGTTTGGACTGAAAATAGTTTGTACTGTATCACTAAAAAGTTGATTAAAACGAACGCTGGATTAGATTTATGACTCATCCTTTTTTTTTTTTTTTTTTTTTTTTTTTTTTTACATCAAATAATTGAAAGTAACTAAGTAACTTTAACTCAAATTACATTTTAAATGAAGTACTTTTTTACCTTTACTCAAGTAGATTTTTAGATCGTTACTTTTACTTAAGAAGGAATTAAAGTAAAGATATTTTACTTTATTTTATTATAACATTTTTTGGTAAATTTCTGTCCTGTCATTGTGAATGTTTTATTATTGATATCTGCTCAAATGAGTACCTAGTTTCACTTCTAGTTTTCGTATCGATTAGTATCTGGTTTTAATTTTTTTTGACAGCCCCAGCACAGGAGGAGCTCTTTAAAACACTGGCCAGCGCTCGGCATGTTTTATTGGCTTGCTTTATTGTAAATTGTTGAAAAACTCATTCTGAAAATGCATCTGCTGCAACTGTTGAGATACAGGGCTAAAATTTTATTCACAACAGTGGTTTAGGTGGTACAGCAGTCGTCTTATAACCACAAGATTGGAGGTTTAATACCAGGTATGACTAATGCATATTAGGTTTGTTTTGCTCTTGGGCAAAACACTTCACCCATGAGTGAAGGTATTACTTTATCCATATAAAAATTTACCCTTACGATTTTTTTTGGTTTTGTTTTTTAATTTTTAGTCACCTGTTTTAAAGGTGCAACTTTTCTGGAGGAGGCTCTGTCACTTGCTTTACTCAAAAATATCTTTAAAAAATCTCTCTCCACACGTTTGACTTGTAACTTGGTGTCACCTGCTTGTTATCATGAAGATAGATATGTTTATTGCAATACCATCTCCACGGAGACAAGAAGATGGTGTACCTTCATCTTAAAGTTACACAGTGCACCTTTAATTTGGCATTTTACCAGTGAGATTTTTTTTTTGACACTTGTGATCTACGTGTTGATTGGAAATTAGATGTTACGTACCAACCTGGAAAATACACATTGAAAACCTCACACATAACCATCTCATGCATTTAACATGAAGGTCAGAGTGTCCGGGAGTGGGCGGGGCCTGGGAGTATCTGCGGACCAATCAGAGGCGGTCGCCGCGTCACTGTAAATGATCACAGCTCCTCTGCTCGGGGCTGGGGGATGTGACATTAGGCGTGGACGCTCTCATTTGTCTGTAAACCTGGAGCCCCATGTGTTCAATGAGCCAGCGCGGTCTGAAGGGGGGGCTAATGAGCAGCATCTAGAGCACCACTGCAGAGGATCCTGACCCC